TCACCAGGTTCCCAATACTCATCATTAGCTTTCTGGAAGATTTCTTCGGCTGATACACCACTATCACCCTTATCATAGTCATCGGCGTAGTTATACTGCTGAAAGTATAGTTCGTCTGGCGCTTCACCTTCCCTTAATTTATCTTCAAGAATAATGAACCAATACCCAAAATCATCATGGCCAAGTAGTCCCTCTCTGGCGGAATTTTCTGTTGGGGACCATCCGTTGAAATCTCCAATTATAGCACCATAGCGAGCACCTGGAATTAGTGTAAAGTTAGTATTCTCAATTAAATCCGAACTTGGCAAATTACTATAGCAAGTTTCAGAACATTATTTTCTCTGTTGATCAATTCTGCATCCTAACGAACTCTATTTCAAATCACCACCATTTATAAAAGAGGAAAGAACCAAATGGAAGTAAAGAAACTGACTAATGAAAATCTAAGATTTTGAGCACGAGACCGAACCTGGACCCCAGTCCATAAAATCAACCCGGTGTTCCATATGTCGATGCATCCCCAGTAACTCAAACCTAAACAGAAAAGAAGGCATTTCATCAGACACAACACTCTTCTGGTAGAATAACTTATTTTCTAGCACATCATAACAATGCAGCTTCAGATTTAGACACTTGATGGTTAATTAGAAATGTGAAAGTATTCCAAGATTAAACTCTTCTTTGTGAAAGAAACTGAGACAAGGAGGATACACATACCCTGAAGCAAAATCTCTGAGATCGAAGTGGCGTTTGAGAATCTCATCTTTAAGGTCTTTCAAAGCTTTATGCCTACAAATTTAACACACTTATATACACAACTGTAGCAAAAGACCTGTGTACTTACAATTTCGAAATGTTTTGCAGTGTATAAACAAAATTCAGAATACGAAAAATCCGTATTAGAGTGTAATCCATGAGAATTCGCTTAGAACGATAACAAGATTCACAAGGAAGAAAGCAAATTACACGACTCATAACTCTTTTTCTGATCAAATTTTTGTTTTTACCTTTCTCGGAGAAATTGAGCGAAGATTCTGTCTGCAATTCCAAGTTTTGTGAGAAACCCAACTGGGTCAACTCCA